CCCCCCCCCCCACGGCTCTACCCAAACCACTAAAAATAATGTTATCACCCGCCTGCACGAGAAGTCCAAAGATTCCAGCAGGCTGCTGCTGTTGCTGCTGCTGAAGTTGCTGCTGCTGCTGATTGAGAAGCAGTATCTGCTGCTGAAGAAGAAGTTGTTGCTGTTGCTGCTGGTGAAGTTGCTGCTGCTGACGCTCGTGTTGTTGTTTCTGCTGCTGCTGCTGATGCTGCTGCTGCTGCTGCTGGCGCTGGTGGTGCTATGGTTCTTGCTGTGGAAGCTGCTGCGGAAACGGCTGCGGAAGCTACTGAAGCTGGATCCCCTGTCGAAAGCCTGGACCTGGACGGAAACAAGATCGCCCAGGAAGGAGGTAGTGCCAAACTAGCGCTTGATAAGGGAATGGACTGGCCGGGGAAATATATCTGGTTTGGAAGATATCACCGCGTCACAATAGGGCGGCTCTGCTTCTCGGAGCTTGGTGGTGGTCTATTCATATCTACTTATTCTTCTGGTTGAAATCTCCGTTAAGGTCGTTATCCCTCACCTGCTGGCGATGCCAGCGAAGCGACCGCCGTGGGAGAAGGATCCTTTCCCGGTTTGCTCCTCTTGCGACTCCCGCGCACGCCCCTTTTGGAGATCGATTCCATTTGTCTTTCATGGCAGCACCTGAACGGAACAACGCGATTGAGGTACTTCTTTTTCGGAATGGGTGTTGTTTGCGTTGACGTTCTCGTCGAGGTGAACGGAGAACTTGTGGGGTTCCTGCGATGGTCCCGTCGCTGTAGTCGAAGCGACAGTCGACGACCATCGACGACACGACCCGAAACCACAAGTAGGAGGTGATCTCTTCCCCCACTTCGAGCCGATCCTATTGGTAATTGAACGCCGTTGTTGACGTTTTTGGGACGATAGGCGACCGCTTGCTGGTACCATCCCGTTCGTGTCTGGCTCCATCGACGAACGCTGTGCTCCCACAACATGAAATGTAGGTCGAAAACGTCGCGAACAAGCAACACCAGGTGAGGAAGCAAACGGTTGTAATAAATCTGATGGGAGTTGGGAAGAGCGCTGTCGTCATGGTTTGGTTGCTGCCCCGCAGTGTCTGGGGAGTATCGAATATGGGTGGTTGTGTAGCGACAGACGCTCGACCCATGAACCCGTGTTGAACATCGGCTACAGCCAAGCAGATTTACGCAACGTCGAATGAAATCGCCGCATGATGCTCTTTTATCGACTCGTAACCGGTGACCGTGTGGGCACCAGGAACGCACTTGCTGGTGCAATATTGGCCAACAACGTCTAGACGCACTCCATTTTTTCTCCTGGCACACAATACTCACTTACCGCCGTAGTCGTTCGCCTTCCGCCCAAAGATCGTGTCTTCGTGCCTGCCGTCATTTCGATCTCCGAAATTCAGGAATCATGTAGAACGGCCTTCTTGCTCAGGGATCGTGCTCTCGTTTCACGCAGTGTGGGGTGCTTTTCAGCCTTCCCTCCGCGCTACATGCCTAGGTCTGCGGAGGTTATCAGCAGACGCCTACTATACTTCCAAGCCGCACAAGCGAGATATCAACACCAGGGTTCGTGTGGAGAGCACTTCGGTCTCACGTGATGCGACAGACCCTTCGTAAACGAGGTGATTTGCGCACGTGTTACTTCGGATTCAAACAACAAGCGTAGCCGAAGAGGTAGTCTACACATGGACACCAAAAAACGACGGCAACAAACTTTACAACGAGGACGACGGCGACAAGGACGACGACGACGATGACGACAGCAACAGCAACAGCTGCAGCAACAGCGTCGCCACATAGACTAGCAGCACAACGATAGCATCCTGATTAAGCTGCCATGCCTCCTGCTGCTTCTCGCAGTTATTGCTAGACGGATAGATAGTTCGTCGTGGTTGATCTCATGTACTACAAAATATACTTTGCGTAATCATCTACAGTAGCTCGAGGTCACCCGCAAGGACAAACAAACGGGTTGTTCTGGAGCCGCCCACATCATACGACCTCCCGGTAAATGAGTGAAAGGTCACCACAGAGGAATTCGTACCCATGGTCGGCGGTAAGACCGCGGGGTTCGCGATCAAGTTGCAAGCGACGGCCATCAACGGATATGGAACCAACGAAAATTTCAATGTGCTAGGGTGATTTCGCTCCCCAGAAGAGGCACTCTCAACCTGCTGCTACATCGTAGGGTTCCTAGGTTAACCACTATTTGTATCACTGAGGTGGCCGGGGGTGTAGAAGTCTCAACAACGAGTACTGCATGTAAACTTCCTCAAGATTTGTGAGAGAGGGGGGGTGGGATTCCTGAGCTTACTGTAGACTAGATATCAACACGAGGGAGACACATCGGAAATGACCGCGGTCGTACCTGCACTTCCATACCGGACATGACACTGCGTTCATGTGTTTGGAAATATTGGATTATGTCCTGTTCTAGCCGATGTTCAGTAGCATTGTTCTCTATCGTAGTTCATGCATCGTAGATACTGTATGTATGTATGTTTCGGTTCATACAACGTGACGCATCTGTATGCGGAGGAATTTCTGCTGTGGCAATCTCTGCTCGAGGGATCGCGTGTCTCTCACTCTCGCATGGATCTCTCGCATGGATCTCTCGCATGGACTCCTCTGGATAAACATCTCTAGGAACTGCCGTCATCTGGACTTCTGCGTTCTCTGTGGATCTATCAGTGTGTTGGCCAACTAAGCGCCAGTGTTTATATCTTCACGTCTCCACATAGCACATGAAGTACCCTACTTCTGATCTTCAACCACTCGCGGGGCCAACCATCTCGAGTACTATCGAGAGGCACAGCCTTGCCCAACAAGGGTACCTCAGAAGATACCCACAACAAGTTATGAGCCTCGACTGTGAGTGAGTGGAGGCCTGCGGCGACTACGACTTCTGCTGGTGCTGTCGTCGAGTGCTGTGGCGTGCACACACACATCGTCTTCTACGATTCTACGAGGAGATCCTTGTCGAGCAAAACTGTTACAACGTAGTCAGACAGAGTTTACCATAGGTGCGACTGCGGCAACTAGCCTTCCGTAGACATTATATGCTAGTTGCCGCAGTCGCACCTATGGTAAACTGTGCCTGACTACGTTGTAACACTTTTCCTCGACATTCACATCGATATGAATCCGAAGTGAAGGACACTCGATAAACTGTTTCCGAAACTTTGTCGCGGATCCTCAGTGTGTGTGTGTTTTCGTCCTTTCTTTTTAGGCTCCGTCCGACTACACAAGTAGCTTTGCGAAGGATGGCATGTTTTCGGAAGGCGATGTTATGGTGTGGAATCACGACGTCTACAGCCACATACGGGGCGTAGAGTATGACGTGCATAATGTGTTTCCAGTCGACGAAAACAAAGCGGTCCCGCTCACCTCTCCAGCAGGGCTAGGCCAGGGAATAGAGAGGTACATGGAGGAAGTGTCCAGAGCATATAGGACAAGTTTGAGCAGAAGATATCGAATGCGTCGTGACGTTGGAGAGAGTGCTCGCTCCAACCTGGTTGTCATATCAAAACGCCCACAAGATGCTTTTGTTGATTGCCGGCCCACAAAAATGCGAAAAATTGACCGTAGGCGGGCCCACGACCAGTCTAGGCTTTTTTTAAGCGGGTGCAATAGTGAAGAAAGGTACAAAGCTCCACCACAGGGGAGGGATACAGCGTGGAGAGGTTTGAGAGTGATTCAGGCAAATGTTGTCGACGTATTATCGTCCCTCGAAGAATGACGCCATCGCTTTGAGTTACAGTGGACTGGAGATGTTCGTGTGTGTGCATATGAAGGAAGGATTTGAAGAACGGTTCTGTGTTCCGTACATGAAGGGACCCGCTGTGGTACCTGTTGTAGTAGACTTGGATGAGTCTGCGGTGTCGAGGAAAACTGTTACAACGTAGTCAGGCACAGTTTACCATAGGTGCGACTGCGGCCACTAGCCTTCCGTAGACATAATACAGAAAGAAGAGATGGTACTCAGCAGAGAACATGAGCACAGAGTTGTAGCGGAGATAATTCGGCAGGCGAGACTGTNGGTAGACTACAAAGTCTACGAGCTACAGCAGCACCGCCACCTCCGCTGCTGCAGGACGCCACATTTTGTGAGGTTATGAGCCTCGCTTTACCGCAACACTAGGACCTGCGGACGTCACGACGGAGGTCAAGACATCCTACTGCTGTGGACTACAACATCCGTCTGTGGACTTCGAGCGGAAATCTGGATTCGGAGATTTGGGAGATCATCAACGGTCAGCGGAAACGAAAGTGAGCGCACTACTTGGTCATCTACACCAAGGGGCAGAGAGTTCATTATACACACACGTTACCACTGCTGCAACAGCAGTAGTGGGTACCTCTGTGTTGAACAAACAGCAAAGTGTTGCGCGGGAAGCCTCGATTTAGACATCGAGCAAATACTTCTGCGGCGGAGACAGGAGGGAAGACTGTATCAACAGCGAAAGTCGACCGGGAACCGTAGTCCTGTTCACCGATTCCCTGAGTGAGGAAAGGGTATCAGGAGCGGGGTCGCAAATTGGCCTACAACCGGAGTTCTATTCACCGATTCTCTATCTAGGTGAGAAAAGGGTTTCAGAAGCGGGGTCACGAATCGGCAACCGGAGTCCTCTATATCAATAGAAGGAGCGGGGCTGGAAAAATCTCAGCGACAGATTGCTGAGTAATACACCAACAAAATATTCAAGGCGAGATCATCAGGATAAAACCAGATATGGAAGCAACATCGGAAACTGCAAGCGAAGGCAGCATCTGGAGTGAACAACATATTCGCCTGATTGAGAGCGTAGCATCTGATTGAGAGCGAGATTGCGCGATACGCTGTAGCCGGACTACCACTGAGAGGTGGAGCTTGCTGTGTAGCTTGAATTGAAGGGCTAGCCCGTAGCTTCAAGCCGCTACCCTGGTCATCCTGTGGGAGTCTCTCGTTGTGGAGCTACAGCGGGGAGCAGAAGCTACAGCAGAGCCCACCGCCCGACGCGATACCGCCCTGAAACAGTTTGAGCAGAAATANGGCCAACGTCATCAGAGGACTCCCCAAGTTCGATGGAACGAAACCAGAGGACTTCAACGACTGGATGAAGAAATTGGGTGTAGTCGTCGGTGTTACTCATCATTACACATCATGCCACTTCTCAAGGGAATGCGCAGGCCTGATCCCTGGGACACCACCTTCGCCGCATACGAGAGAGCAAACGAAGACCT